TTTGTGGTTAGTTATAACAGCGTTGACAGCAGTGTCTCGTTTGCGGACACCTCATTGTACATCAACTCGCTGATACCGGGTTTCCTATCAACACCATCATCATCATCCTTAACCTCCTCGTAGCCATTTTGCTTAGAGCTGTAGCCACATGTTTGCTCGAGTTTCACCTGGCCGTCCAGCCGCGGCGGTGCTCCTCAGCCTGCCTTGTCACAATGCCAGCACGCGGCAAGGCATCGCCCCCGCCACCCCCGGCCCCGTGCGATGGCCCGTGGGAGATTCTGCCGGATCCGCCCGCACCGACTCCTCAGCCAGGTGTCGACGTGGTCTTTGAGCAGGCTCACCTCGAAGACATCCGCCGTACACCAGGGATGGGCGGCAAGACCGCCTGCCAGTGGCAGCGCGCGCTGCGCGCCGAGTGCATTGTCAACAACTTGTCGTTCAAAGACGTAACAAACGACCCGTCCTACGACTGGAAGCAACTGCTTCGGTCTGCCGCTCCGGGTTTCGCTGAGCGCATAATCGGGCAGGGCATCGCCCAGGTTCTCTTTCGCATCATCGAGACAGAGCGCGACCCTAACTACTCCAACACGGATGGCCACGGCAGGCACTTCTTCGAGTTCCGTCGTGCAGACGGTTCAGCCATGCGCCTGCATTACCATAAGAACGGCCGACCCGATGAGCCCACCTATGTCGGTCCACCACGCGCCGTTGCTCAGCCTGCCGTGCCTGAGCCTGGCGCTGCTCAGCCTCATGTTCCTCGTGGCGGCGCTGCTCAGACTGCCGTGCCTGACGGTGGCGCTGCTCAGCCTGCCGAGACTGGCGGTGATGCCCCACTGCTCTTCACACAGGAGCACCTGCAAGAGGCAGCCTGCTCGCGCCAGATTGTGGGCCGCGACGAAGCCAGCGCCGCTCTCCAATCGCTGTTGCACTACCACCATGGCGAGACTGCCCCAGGTGCTGTTGACATCACCGATGGCTCAGCATTTGACTGGCTTCGATGGGTGGCACATATCGAAGGTGCGCGCGACGTCATCCGCAATGGCGTCCACAGGGTCTACGCTGTCCGCTGGAATCCGCACTGGGCTCCAGAGGCCGTCTTCTGCTACGGCAACAACACCTACAGCACACTGGTGCCCCGCAAATCGCGCTACACAGGCTCGTGGAGCCACGCGCGAATTGTGACTCACCGGAACGCCAATTGGGTGACCGAACCGTTGCTATCTGCGGCCCCTGTGGCAGCTACGCCGTGGCTGGTGTTGCGGGATCAAATAACCTGGGAGTGATCTCTGGCAAACGAGATGTGGTGCTTCTCAGCCTGCACTCATGTGACACGCAATGCCGTGCCCTGCAATCGCGTGGTGTTTCTCAGCCTGCACTCGCAGGTCCTTCGGAGGTCAATTGTTATGAGTTCGGCACGGTCTCGGTCAAGTACAGCGTGCTGTGGGGATCCCGAGATGGGGCCTGGCTCAAGGTGCTCAAGACGTACTGGAGTGTCCCAGAGCCGGAGTGCCAGCTGATCCTCGGGAGTTGGAGCGGCATTTCCAGGCCGTGGCCGGACACGTTCTGGATCAGGACGGGGGGGTCAGAGCCCGAGATGGAGTGCTAGCGCTCTGCAGTACAAGTGCTTTTCAGCATGCGACATCCTGCGGTGCTTCTCAGCCTGCAGGGTTCGCAGCGTGCGGTTTGCAATGCATTCCTTTTCAGTATGCGAGTTCCTGCGGTGTTTCTCAGGTTGCAGGGCTCCGAGGCTCTTCGCTTCGATGCCAATGTTTTCAGACACCGTAGCTCCGTTCCGTAAACATCTTCCAAGAGCCGCTCGCAACCTTTTGCAGCTGGCGGTCTGCAGACGTAGTCTGTCTCAGCATGCGAGCTCCCGCACGCTTCGCCGGCTTTTGCTGCGCGGACAATTTTCTCACACACGTCAGCGCCGTTTGTAGGCGTCAGAAAAACATGTAGACATTCACGAAGGGCTCAGTCTGTATATCGTCACATCATTACATACGCAGTCGTCGAACACATCGGTGTACATTCAGCGCTTTGTCCTTCTAGCTGGGTCGCTTCGTGCTGAGGCTGAGGCTGATGCAGGCTGAGGCTGAGGCAGGCTGAGGCTGAGGCCGAGGCCGACGGCAGACTGAGGCTGAGGCTGAAGCAGGCTGAGGCTGAGGCAGAGGCAGGCTGAGGCTGAGGCTGAGGCAGGCTGATGCTGAGGCAGGCTGAGGCTGAGGCTGAGGCTGATGCAGGCTGAGGCTGAGGCAGGCTGAGGCTGAGGCCGAGGCGAAGGCAGACTGATGCTGAGGCTGAAGCAGGCTGAGGCTGAGGCTGAGGCAGGCTGAGGCTGAGGCAGGCTGAGGCTGAGGCTGAGGCAGGCTGAGGCTGAGGCTGTGACTGCGACTGCCGTTGCCACTGCGACTGTCATCGCGAATGCGACTACGACTGCGAGAACAGCAGAATTCTACAACTGGATTCTCATCTGAATCTTAAGGGGAATGCTTCCAGATATGCTCCTACACATCGCTGTTAGGTTGCTTTGCCGGGACTTTTTTTTTTTTTTTTTTGTTCTCTCTCTCTCTCTCTCTCTCTCTCTCGAGAGAGAGAGAGAGAGAGAGAGAGAGCCTCGGCGTTTGAAACGTTTTGCGTCACCGCTCGCTCTTGGGTGCTTTGCTGTTAAGAGCTTTTCGCGTCACCGCTCGCTCCTGGGAGTCTTGGCGTTGCGAGCTGTTTCACGTCACCGTTCGCGCTCCAGTAAGCCTTGGGAGCCTTGGCTCTCCAGGCCTTCCTTGGGGTCCTCTCGGGGCCCTTTTGGACCGTGTTGGAGCCCTTGGGGGGAGTCTTGGAGCGTGTTGGGGGGCCTTGGTCGTCTTGGGTCCCTCTTGGGGGCCTCTTGGGTCTCCATGGGAGCCTCTTGGGGCTATCTTTGGAACCTCTTCGGGCCCTCTTGGGCCGTCCTTGGGCCGTCCTTGGGGCCCTCTAAGGGGGGCCTCTTGGGCCGTCGGAAGCCCGAAAAGGTGATGACCGTAAAAACTATCTTCAAAAACGTAGGAACTAGCTGTGCCATGCTTCTGGTCTCTTCGAACCCTCTTGGGGGTGTCTTCAAGCGCTCTCAGGCCGTCTTCGGGCCCTCTTTGACAGTCTTGAGGCCACCTTGGAACGCTCTTGGGCCGTCTTGGGCTCTCGTGGAGCGCTCTTGGGCCGTCTCTGGGGCCGTCGTGGACCGCTCTTCGGCTGTCTTGGGGGTGCAGCAGGCAGTCTTGGGCGCCTCTGTGGCCGTCTTGGCGCCCTCTCGGCGGGGGGGCGCGCGTGTCACCCGCATTCGCCCCGCGACGCCCCTTCCCGGGAACCCCTCCCTGGACGGCTTCGCCCCACCCGAACGCCCTCACTCGTACCTCGCTCTCCTGCCATCTGCCATGCTGAGGTCGCGCAGCAGACAAGGACCGCAACCAGCAATACCATACCGGCACACATGACGCTACGCCTCCCTAGAAGGCTTCGCCCCACCCGAACGCCCTCACTCATACCTCGCTCTCCTGTCATCTGCCATGCTGAGGTCGCGCATCAGACAAGGACCGCAACCAGCAATACCAGACCGGCACACACGACGCTACGCCTGGCCACGCCGGACTCGACCAGACGCGCCAAGACGACATCAGGCAAGGCCACTGGACTTCAGACCTCGCAGAAGAGAGCGTTGGCTGGCGGGGACGCGCGAAGCGTGTCGAATTTTCATGGACCACGCGGAGACAATTGAAGGGGCCCTGGGACACACAAATAACCGCATGCCGATGATAATAAAGGGACCCCCCCCCCTTCAGTGTTTAGAGTTGATTATCGTCGCCCTATACAAAATTCAAATTGGGCGGCGAGCGCTGAGGCCGAACTTCATTATCACCTCGAAACGCTATGTTGAGATAGCAACATCAAGCGATGTTGATATAGCAACATCAAGCGAAGCGATCACACTTTTTCAGGATGTGTCAAGCGAAACCAATAATTTTGGGAGGCAGACTCAAACGAAACGAGCAATGTTCTTATTATTAGTCTACTTTCCTCTTCTTCTTTTATATTTCTATCTGTCCTCACGCTCGCCTGAACTTTTTTATCCCTGGGGTTGATTATCCATGGAAAATGAAGCACATGAGCTACCCTACACGAGCACTTAAAAAAATCAATTTTCATAAAGCGCTTGTAAATTAAAATTGATAGATTTGGAACTTTGGATGTTTCCTTTCTTCGTCCTCTTCTTATTATCCTCTTCTTCTTCTTTCTTAGTATTCTTCTACTGTATTCTTCTTCTTTTATATTTCTCTCTGTCCCCACGCTCGCCTGAACTTGTTTATCTCTGGGGTTGATTATCCATGGAAATTGAGGCACATGAGCTACCCTACACGAGCACTTACAAAAAACAATTTTCATGAGAGATAAGCCATTGTTGAGGATATTTCTATGAAAACTAAACGCCAAGGATGTCTCAAAACGTGCTCGGCTTGGTCTCCTCTTGATCATCTCTTACTTCGAGATTATGCTGAGGTCTGCTGGGCTACTTTTATTATCTCTCCCTGAACCCCGAACTTTATTATCCCCTAGTGTTTATTCTCACGGGCATGAGGTTAAATAGACACAAATAATAAGATTCACCATATGTTCACATATTTTCTGGGTTTTTGTCTTCCCCCCCACTTCTTATATTTTCCCATATTTTCTTGGGAATCGACGATTCATTGTGTCTGTGTGTTTTTTCCCTCCCGAACAGTGCTCTTACTTACGCACCCCTCGCGGCGCGCGGGGGGCCTCGGGCCAGCAGCCCACGAGCGCGACTGCACACAGCGCAGAGACCAGTTCCGCCAAGGGCTGCACGGCACGCCGCATATCTGTGGGCGGCGGGAGTGCTGGAGCCAGAATTGAGCAGGGACCGGCCGTCCCGGCATTCCTATAGTCATACCACGAAATCTTCTTAGCACCCAAAGATGTTCTAAGATCAACAACGATGTGCTTAGAACATAATCCCGATGTGTTAAAACAAGACAGTCCCAGCCAGAAATGTTCTAAGGCCATTTCGTGGCAACCACGAAAGGTTCTTAGAACATTGTTTGGTAGGGCTATAGGCGAGCCAAGACGCTTCGCCACTGCTTGATAAACCGCCGGAGCCAACACGTACCAAAACAAACCAGCGGCGGTGTTCGGGGAACGCGCTCGCATCCTGGCTCCTTGCGCTGTCCATCGTGCGCGGCAACAAAAAAGACATCACACATGCAAAACACAACCTGAACATTACCCCTCCCTGGACAAGAGTCTCCACCGAGGCAAGTCTCGTGGAGGTCACCTCCCCGCCGCGCGGGTAAGCGCCGCTGACAGCTCCGGGCTGCCCTCGCGCGCCCAGCGCAAGTCGTCGTCCTCTAACATCTCGTTGGCCCAGCGCGCCCGGCCGGCCTTCGGCAGCTTCTTGAAGCAGCGCCCCAAAGCCGCGGCGGCCGCATCCGCGTCGCCCAGCATGCTCCGTGCGCACGCCAGGTTGTAGAGCGCGGTGGCGGCCGACTCGGAATCCGCTGCCCGCGCCGCGAGCTCCTCGAAGGACCCGGCGGCCTGCGACAGCGCCTCCCGCCCGCTGGCGGCATCGCCGCCCGCCCCCTGCCGCGCGCACCGCCGCGCGTGCGCGAGGAGCAGCTCCCCCCGGCTCATTGCAGCTGCGGCCACCGCCTCGGCCCCGCCAGCGGCCGCGGCGGCCTCGTACGCGGCCGCCGCCATCGCCGACGCGCCCCGCTCGTCCAGCGGCGCCCCGGGCTCCGGGCCGCCTGGCCCAAAGCAGGGCGCCGCGGCGGCCGGCTGGTCGCCCGCGGACGCAGCAGGCAGCGCGGGGCAGCCTGGCAGCTGCAGCTGCGCGCCTGGCCAGTGCTGGCCCAGCGCGCCGGCGAGCGCCGCCCCGGCCGCGAGCGCGTCGCCCCGCAGCATGGTGGCGGTCCATCTCTCGTGCCCAGGGCTCTCTGCCTGCAGCTGCTCGCAGGCGACCGCGAGCCGCAGCGCCTCCTGCCAGCGGGGGGCAGCCGACTCCCTCCATCGCTGCGCGGCGGCCGCGGCCTGTGCACCACCGCCTGTTGGTGCCGAGGCGGCCTCCAGCGCTCGCACAGCGTGCGTCACGAATTCCAGCAGGCACTCCGCGTGCAGCGTCATCCAGTGTAGGTCGCCCTGCTGCGAAGCGTCCGCCATGCCCTCCTCGTCCACAGCGGTGGTCGCGGCGCGGAACCTCTCGGTCGCGCTGAAGCACAATGCGACGAGCTCGGCGTGTGCGGCGCCGTCGTGCCAAGCGCCAGGTCCCATGCCCTCCAGCGTAAGCTTCATCTCCAGGGCGAGCGCCTCCGCCCACGCGCCCAGCGCCGTGCCGTCCAGCGGCGGGTGGCCCCACTGCTCGTGCAGCCGCAGCGCCTCCTTGAAGGACGCATCCGCCTCGCGCGCCTGCGCGAGCGCGGACTCCCAGAGGCCTGGCCGCGCGTCCTCCTCGTCGTGGAGCTCCGCGGAGGCGCGCGCCAGCAGCTTGCCGCGCGCGGTGGCGGCCAGGTAGCGCGCCTCGCTCCGCGTGGAGGTGTCCAGGGTCACCACACGCGCCCACGAGCTCAGGGCTGTTGACAGCAGGCCAGCACGCTCGCTCGGCGGCGGCTCGTACTCGCCCTGGAGCTCCCACAGATTGCTGGCTGCGACCCCGTGGTGGTACCAGGCGGACTGGTCGGTGGGGCGCGCGGCGAGCGCCTGCTCCAGCAGCTGCAGTGCGCGCGCGGGGTCCGACTCCAGCAGCTCCTCGGCGGCACCGGCCGCCTCCCGCGCGCACTCCGCCGCGGCAAGGGTCTCCTGGCCGCCGCTGGGCTCCTTGCCCGCGCGCGCCTTGCGCCCCATCGGCGCACTCTTGCCGCCAGCTTCGCGCCACCCATGCCAGGGCCGTACACCTCTCGAGCCAAAATGGCTTGACGTCCTAAGCTGTGGTCCGACTAACCAGTCTGGAACGCAACCCAACCCCCATGATGGGTATATCACCTCATGCAGGTGCCAACATCAATGTTTTCCCTATCCCCTTAAGGTTATCATCAAGAAAGAGGATGAACACGAGGATGGCTACTGGTACGCTCATCCGCAATCCACTCAGAAGCTCCCTGGAGCCTTCGGTGGGGCTACCTATGGGGCCAGGAAGCGTGTGAGAGGTGTGCCGAAATAAGTACGGTGCCGCCATGCCATGCGGACGCTGGCTCTGGGGCCTTCGGTGGAGCTCCCTATGCCACGAAACGTGTTGGGCGTGTGCCGAAATGTGTGCGAGGAGAAGGAGGAGGAGGAGGAGGAGGAGGAGGAGGAGGAGGAGGAGGAGGAGGAGGAGGAGGAGGAGGAGGAGGCGCGGGGCGCTGCTGATTCAAAACGAGGGTCCCACACCACAAAATCGGCAGGAAACACGACGAACGGCGGCGGGCCCGCGGGCATGCAAAACCGATGGACCGTCCGATGGGTGCGGTGCCCGCAGAGCACATGCGGGGCTGGATGGGACGTCGGGACTGCGCAAGTGTGCGCTCGCCGTCACCTCTCTGGAGCGGAGTGTCCCAGAGGTGTCTGGCAGGTCCCTGGGGGTCCCTGGAGGCCTCCCGAGGTCTGGAGGTCTCTGGTGGGTCCATGGAGGTCCTGCGAAGCACCGAGGTCTGGAGGTCTCTGGCAGGGAGTGTCGACATGGGTGCGGTGCCACCAGGCGGACGCTACCACTCGGGCGTTCGGCAAAACCCCGTATGGGGCCACGGCACTTGTGAAGGGCGTGCCAAATTGGGAGCGGTGCCGCCATGCAGACGCTGCCACTGCGGTCTTCGGTGGAGCTCCCTGGGGAGCCAAGAAGCGCGTGAGAGGTGTGCCGAAATGAGTGCGGTGCCGCCATACGGACGCTGGCACTGGGGCGTTCGGCGGAGCTCCTTTTCGGCTACGAAACGCGTGATGGGGTGTGCTGACATGGGTGCGGTGCAGCCAAGCGGACGCTGGCACTGGGGCTTTCGGCGGACCTCCCTATGGGGCCACGACGTGTGAGGAGGTGCCGAAATGGGCGCGGTGCTTCCATGAGGAAGCCACCACAGGAACCTTCGGTGGAGCTCCCTATGTGCCACGAAGCGTGTGAGGAGTGTGCCAACATTGGTGCAGAGGTGGGAGGAGGGAGGAGGCAGGGATGGGGGAGGAGTGGAGAGAAGAGGAGAGGAGAGGAGGGGAGAGTAAACGGTAAAAGAGAAGGGGTGAGGGAGGAGGAGGAGGAGGAGGAGGAGGAGAAGGAGAGGAGGAGGATGAGAGGAGGGGCTGAGGCGAGAAGGAGGAGGGGAAAGGGGGGGGGAGGGAGGAGGAAGAGGATGAAGGATGAGGATGAGGCTGAGGTGAGGAGGAAGAGGAGTCGGGGAAAGGAGGAGGGAGGAGGAGGAGAGGGGAGGAGGACGAGGAAGAATAAAGACGAGGAGGAGGAGGAGACGCAGGATGACGAGAAGGAGGACGAGGCGAGAAGGAGGCGGGGGGCAGGGAGGGGCGAGGAGTAGGAGGAGGAGAGGGAGGAGGGGGAGAGGAGGAGGAGGGGGAGAAGGAGATGAGCCCGGAAGGTGGAGAGGAGGAGGAGTAGGAGGAAGAGGGAGGATAATGAGGAGGCCGAGAGGATATGATAAGGGGGAGAATGGGGGGAGAAGGAGGAGAGACGGAGGCAGGAGGAGGAGGAGTGGAGGAGGAGGAGGGGGAGGAGGCCGAGGAGAAGGAGGGATGAGGATGAGGAGAGAGGAGTATGAGATGGAGGAGGAAATGGGGGAGGGATGAGGAGGATAGGAATAAGGTGGAGAAGGTGGGAGAAGGATGAGGAGAAGGACAGGAAAGAGGAGGATGAGGAGTATGGAGGGCGGAGGGAGGAGGACGGAGAGGAGGAGGGGGAGGAGGAGGAGGAGGAAGGAGGAGGAGGATGGCGGGGGGGGGAGGGGGGAGGAGGAGGAAGAGGAGGAGGAGACGGAGGATGAAAAGGGAAGAAAAAAAACGGAGGAGGCAGCAGGGAGTAAGGAGGGGGACGAGGAAGAGGCTGAGGAGAAAAAGGCGTATCACCGGCGTCAGGAGATGGGACCGAGGATGCGGAGTAGGACTTCGCAGGAGCGAGGAGAATGGAGTAGTACGAGGAGGACACGAGTGATGATGGTATTGGCTAGGAGGAAGACGAGGTGGATGAGAGGAGGTGAGGGGAGGGAGGGCAGAGGAGAGGAGAGGAGAGGAGATGAGAGGAACGGACGGGAGAGGAGAGGAGAAGCGAGGAGAGGAGACAAGAGGAAAGGAGGAGGAGGAGGAGAAGGAGGAGGACGAGGAGGAGGAGGAAGAGGAGAAGGCGGAGGAGGAGGAGGATGAGGAGGAGGAGGATGAAGAGGAGGAGGAAGAGGAGGAGGAGGAGGAGGAGGAGGAGGAGGCTCGGCGAGCTGCTGATTCAAAACTAGGACGCAACACCACATGAAGTGTGGGAAAACGACGACCATTGCGGGCCCGCGGGCATGCAAAACCGATGGACCGTCCGATGGGTGCGATGCCCGCAGAGTGCATGCGGGGCTGGATGGGGCGGCTGGACTGCGCAAGTGTGCGCTCGCCGTCGCCTCCCTGGAGGCCTCCCGCGAGGTCTGGGGGGTCCCTGGAGGTCTCTGGCGGGTCCCTGGAGGTCCGCTGGAGGCCCGAAGCCTGGACAACTCTGGCAGGTCCCTGGAGGTCCGCGATTCCTGGAGCGGTGGGCCGCAGAGATCTCTGGCAAGTCCCCCGAGGAGGAGGAGGAGGAGGAGGAGGAGGAGGAGGAGGAGGAGGAGGAGGAGGAGGAGGAGGAGGAGGAGGAGGAGGAGGAGGAGGAGAGGGGAGGAGTGGGAGAGGGGAGAGGAGGAGGAGAGGCGCGGAGGAGGTAGGAGGGGAGGAGGAGGAGGAGGAGGAGAGGGAGAGGAGGAGGAGGAAGGAGGTAGGGGGAGGAGAGGACAGTGAGGAGGGGAGGTGGCCCCTGGAGGTCTCGGTGGCTCCCGGAGGACTGGAGGCCGCCGAGGGCACGCGCACGGATGGCCTCCATCGGGGGCGCGAGCCTCGGTCCCCGCAGAGGTTCCCCGCCTGGAGCCGAGGAGCTGCCCGGTCCCCGAGCTCCGCCCGAACTTGCAGTCGGGGCGTTGACTCATGAGCCTAATACGGAACTCGAGGCCTTTAGATGGGGTCGGAGTAGATGGGTCGGAGGATCGCGTCGCATCGCGATACATCGGGCGATAAATCGGCAGATGCATCGGTGATTTGCACCTGCGCTGCATCGTCGCCTGACGTCGACGTGAAGACATCGGGCCCACGTCGAGCCGCATCGGCGATGCATGACGGCTGCAGCGACCCTCGACCCATCTACTCCGACCCATCTAGGAGGCCTAGAGGAACGGGGCCCCTAGGCCCATTTTTCTCCATAAGTTAAACTTCGATTTGCTATTGGCAACCTTGAGACCACCCATGGCAGACGGTCAGACAAACCCGGGGACACCGAGCCCCTTCCAAACGAGCAGGGTTCTTCTTCAGCAACCCGACTGTCCATTAGGAGCTCGCCCACAGAGCCCATACTACTACTGGGGATGGACAGACACCCTATCGTAAAACGTGGTTTCGTGCAAACGCGACCTGAGGCCCAACCTGGCGGGCGCAAGCCTGGAAAATACCTGGCCGCGGCGCCCCCTCTCGAGAACCGAAAACGGACAATTCAACTACTCGAACTGTAGTCACTATTGGGGTTCTGTCCAGCCCGCCAGTCGG